TAATTCCATTCCCTTCTCTCCTTTCCCCTACCCCTCCCACTTCCCCTTCCCCTTTGTCCCTTTTCTTCCTATTTCACATTATCTATTATACTTTTTAGTCCTTATTTACACTTTCAGTTTCTCACACTAGAGAAACTATTTGGTATTTACACGTGTATCCTATTTATTTCACTTAAGAGTTTGTCCTCCATATATGTTCATTTAGCTATAAATTTCTCTAGATTCTCATTCTTCATTTCTGAGTAGTACTCCATGTTATAAAAAAAACCCCACATCTTCTTGATCCAGTGTCCCGGTGGTATGATCCTTTTAATTCTTTTGGAAAGGTACTGAGCAGGGGAATAGATGGGTCCATGGGAACTCTACTCCTAGATATTTGAAGTATCTCCATTCTGATTTCCACAGTGGTTGCATCAGTCTGCACTCCCATCAACAATGGAGAAAGGTCCCTTTCTCCCCCAACCCTGCCAACATTTGTTGTTGGTCGATTTCTTGATAGCAGCCATTCTTTCTGAGGTAAGGTGGAATCTCAGTGTAGTTTCATCTGCATCTCTCAAATGACTAGTGATGTTGAACATTTTTTATACGTTTATTTGCTGCCTTTACTTCTTTGATTGAGAAATGTCTGTTCATTTCAGATGCCCATTTTTGAATTGGGTCTTTAAATTTGGGGGGTCTGATTTTCTCATGTCCTTCATATATTTTAGATAGTAGTCCTTTGTCTGATGTACTGCTGCTAATTTTTTTTCCCCACATTGTAGATTGTCTCTTAGCTCTGTTGGTGGTTTCTCTTGCAGTGCAGAAGCTTTTTAATAAGATGAAATCCCAGTTGTTGATTCTTTCTACGAGTTCCCATGCTACTGAGGTTTTGTTCATAAAGTCTTTTCCTATGCCGATGTCTTCAAGAGTTCTACCTAATTTAACTTCCAGCAAGATTAGTGTTTCTGTTTTAATATTTAGACCTTTAATCCACTTTGATCTTTGTTTAGTTAGAGTGAAAGATATGTTTCTAGTTTTAATTTTTGGTGGTTGAAATCAAGTTTTTCCTAGCTTTAATTTTTGGTGGTTGAAATCCAGTTTTTCCAATTCCATTTGTTAAAGAGGCTATCTTTCCTCTAGTGAGGATGGTTGGCTCCTTTGTCAAAAATGAGGGGGCTGAGTATGTCTGAAGTTCTTTCTGGATCTTTTAATCTGTTCCACTGATCCTCAGGTCTGTTTCTTTTCCAATACCATGCTGTTTTTATCACAGTAGCTTTGTAGTATAGTTTCAAGTTGGGGCTTGTGATACCCCCTGTGATGTCTCTGTTGCTTAGACTTGATTTTGCTATTCTAGGTCTCTTTTTGTTCCAAATGAAATTTTGGATAGTTTTCTCTTCTTCTGTAAAATATATTGCTGGAATTTCAATTAGCATTATATTAAATCTATATAGTAGTTTTGGAAGTATGGCCATTTTCACTATATTGGTTCTTCCTACCCAGGAGCAAGGGATATCTTTCCATTTTCTTATATCTTCTTCAATTTCTTCTTTCAGAGTGCTGTAGTTTGTAGTGTAGAGGACTTTTGCTTCCTTTGTTAGGTTGATTCCTAGATATTTCATTTTTTTTAGATGCTATTGTAAAAGGAATTCTTTCCCTAATTTCTCTGTCAATGAGTTTATTTGTGTACAAGAAAGCTATTGTTTTTTGAGTGTTGACCTTGTATCTATCTCCTCTGCTGAATTTGTCAATTAAGTCTAGAAGGCTTTGGTAGAGCTTTTTGGGTCTTCTACATAGATCATCATATTGTCAGCAAATAATGACAGTTTAACTTCTTCCTTTCCTATCTTTATTCCTTTTATTTCTTTCTCTTTTCTAATTGCTGTGGCTCATGTTTCCAGAACTATATTGAACAGAAGTGGTGATAGTGAGCATCCTTATTTTGTTCCTGATTTTAGCATGAAAGTTTTTCAGTTTTTGACCATTTAGTATGATGCTGTCTGTTTGTTCTTTGTAGATTAAATAGCCTTAATCAGGTTGATACAAAGGTCTTCTATTCCAATTTTCTGTAGAGTTTTTATCATGAATGATGTTGGATTTTTTCAAAATCTTTTTCTGCATTTATTGATATGATCATATAATTTTTTTCCTTGGCTCTGGTAATATAGTGCATTACATTTATTGATTTACATATGTTGAACCATCCTTGCATCCCTAGTATAAATCTGACTTGGTCAGGCTGTATGATCTTCTTGATGATCCTCTGTATTCTGTTTGTCAGTATCTTGTCGAGGATTTTTGCATCTATGTTCATTAGGGAGATTGGCCTGTAGTTCTCTTTCTGAGTTGGGTCTTGGTTTTGGAATCAAAGAACCACTTGCTTCCAGGATTGAATTTGGAAGTATTGCTTCCCTTTCAATTTCCTTGATGAGTTTATTTTTTCCTCATTAAGTTTATTGGTACATTTTAGGTATAAAATACACTTGCATTCATCATTGGGATCTTGTACCTTTACACAATATATCTTGGTTTTTAATTTTTTTCCCTTCCCACACCCTCCCTTCACTCTCTCCACCCTTCCCTATTTGCAAGGACTCTGTTTTCATTTTTTTCTTTTCTCATATTTTGTCTTTTCACTTCTTTCCTTTCCCCTACCCCTCCCACTTCCCCTACTACTTTAGACCTTTTCTTCCTATTACACAATATCAATGATACATTTTTAAATTACTATATCAAGATTTAGACTACATTACCACAGATTTTCCACAATTTTAAAGGAACATAGAGAGCATATTATAAAAATCTGTCTTAAAATAAATTTGACAACTTCTCTGAAGTACCTTGGAAGACGAATTAATGAAACTGACTCTGGAGGAAATATAAAATTTGAATTGCAACTATTAAATAAAGTATATTCCCTGCTTGAAAACTTACCTATATGACAACAACAGCCTCATATCCATTTTAACTGATGAATTATATCAAACAGTTAAAGCTGGAAAAAAAGGAACATTACTCTCCTCATTTTAGGAAATCAGCATTGTGCTAATACTAAAACTGGTTAAAGATAATAGAAGAAAATAGATATTTTTTTCTATGAACATAGATGAAAATTTGTTTAACAAAACAAACTATTAGAAGTCAGATCTGGCAGTATGAAAAAAGTTTTATTAGAGAGATGGCAGTGTTGGTTCAGCATGGGAAGATTCACTCCTATAAGTAACATTTTAACAGAGGAAAGGAAAAAGCTGTATGATCCTGTCTGTAGTTGGAGAAAAAGCATTGGACTAAATTCTACAGTTGTTCATTGTAAAAGCTATCAGGAGACTAGAAGTAGAACAGAACCTTCTCAACAGATAAAAGACATGTACTCCATACTTCCAGCAAAAAGGCCTTATATGAATGGAAAGGATACAATACTTTCTCCCTAAGGCAGGGAACAAGGGAAGATATGCTTACTCTTCATCTGTACATTAAACTTTGGAACATAGGCTCAAACCAAAACAGTCTGGCAATAAAAAGAAATAATTAGCATACGATTGGCAAGGTAGAAGTAAGATCTTTATATGTATATGAAATGATCATCTACAGAGAAAATAATAAATCTCTAGGAGCCCCTATAACTTGTATTTGAATTTAGCAGGATTAGAAAATACAACGTACATATGAAAATTCAGGTTTTTGTATACTTTCTATAAATGAAGAATTGGAAATTTTAAAGTTATGGAGGAGTACAAAGGACCTAGTAAAGTAAAAACAAAGTGTTGGAAGATATTTCTTACTTATTTGTAAGACTTCCTCTAAAGCTGCAGTAATCAAGGCCATGTTGGCTTAAGGAAAGACATATAGCTCAATGGAATAAAACAGAGAATCTAGAAATAGAACCACATATATATGGTCTACTGAGTTCTGAAAAATTATTTAACATTAACATTTTATAGAACATAAATTCAATTCAATAGCAGAGGAAAAGCTAGTGTTTTCAGCAAATGGTACTAGAGCACCTGCTTCCGTATTTAAAAAATTAATCTCAACCCTGTATTCCCATACATAAAAATACCTTAAAATGATCTATGAACCTAAATATGGAAGACTAAAACTATAAAACTTTAAGAAGAATTTATAAGGGAAAATCTTCCTTCTACCACAGCCAGCTAGATCAGCCTCCTGATGCATGCCATCCACTGTAAAATCCAGCTAACATCCCCCACCCAGCAGGAAGTAGCCAGAGTTGTTGTTCCTCCTGATCCCAACAGAAGTTTGATGATTGTCTCCAGTCAGGGGAATGTATGGACTGTTGAGAGCCTTAGGTAGAATTACCTTAGAAGCCTGCTTAAGAGAAAAAGGAACCAGACTCTGCATTCAGCAAGCAGCTGAGCTGACAGTCTGTGGTTGAGAACTTCCTCTTGTAGACGTGCAGTCAATGGTTCCTATTATGAGGACCTACCATATCAATTCACTTTTCAATTGATAAATCAAGTAGAGATCTTCCAAAAATAGTGGGAAAAGGGAAGTGGGATGTGACCTTTATCCTATAAAAACCAGACTGTTGGCCTGCATTCAGCAGTGTCTAAACCCTGTGACCTCCACTCAAGAAAAGTGGCTGTTCACTCTGAAAAAAGAGATCGAAGAGGATACAAGGAAATGGAAAGACATCCCTTGCTCCTGGGTAGGAAGAACAAATATAGTGAAAATGGCCATACTTCCAAAACTACTATATAGATTCAATGCACTGCCAATTGACATTCCAACAAGATACTTCACAGAACTAGAGAAAACAATGCAAAAATTCATTTGGGACCA